CCCGGCACGGGCTGCCACATGAAGCAGGGTGCAGCCACGCTCATCCACAGGCTGGTTGAGCAGGGAGCGGGGCATATCCTGGGGCTGGGCGCTCTCCCCATGCTGGCAGTCCCCTGGCAGGCCCTCACTCTCTGGCATGCTCAGGAGGTGCCGCAGCATCCCCACATCCCCCGTTTTGCAGGCGGTGAACAGGGCATCGCGGAGCTGGGTCTGAGGGTCTCCTGTGAGGGAAGAACAGGAGGGGAGTCTGACGGCTCCCTGGGCAGAGTGGTGCTCTGGTCTCACCAGGAAACCCACAGGGTACAGTTAAAGCACCATCCTGCTAGCTGGATTTGGGCACTGCAGGATCTCCAGCACCTTCAGAGTCTGTGACAACGTACCATGGCACTGCTGGGCAATGCTGGCAGCAGCCGAGTCCTCTCCCGAGATGAGACCCACTCCGGTCCCCATAACACGCCTGGCTTAGCCCAGTGCTGCCTGCCCCCCGGTTCAGAGCTACTGCTCTGCACACACGGCTCTTTCGAAGGCACATGGCTGCACTACAGCCACCCTGTACCCAGCTGCTCCCGGCACCTGCGTGACAGCGTGCTCTTCACCCCACTCCAAAGCCCCCAGCAAACAGGGCAGGCATCCACCCAGCCCACCTCCTGACCCCACTCACCTCCATTGCCCCAGGGAAGGGGCTCAGCCCCAGCCTCCCCCTGCAGCTCCAGCTCCAGCTCCTCCAGGCCGGGCTGCCCACAGCGGGTACCACAGCACCCCGAATCTTCGGCACAGGGCCCTGCGCAGGGAGCACATGGTGAGGAAGAGGGCCAGGGCCAGCCTGCACCCCAGGCGTGGCAGTCCCTTCCCCAATGCCTTCCCACACTGCCCCCGGCCAATTCTTCCCCCTCACCTCTCTCCACCTTCTTGTCCCTCTTCTTCCGCCTTTTGCGGTTTCGCTTGGGCATAACTTCAAACTCCCGGAGGTCCAAGGTCCCCAGCGTCACTTCCAGAGTCTCCAGTTCTCCCGCAGGGCTTTCCTCCTCCTCCTCTTCTTCCTCCTCCTCCACTGGGGCTGAGGGGGGTGGTAAGACAGGGGCTGAGGCCCCACACACAGGACGAATCACTGGGGGCTCTCAGCCAAGCACACCCTGCCCTTCTCCTGGCCAGCACTAGGCCACACTCTGCAGATCCCCACTGCAGTGCCAGGCCCTGTCACAGGGCTTCAGATCTGGTCCTATGCCATAACACCAGACCCCCCCTTCTTGCTCAGGGCCACGTCTGCCTCCATGGCTCAACTCACCACTTGTGTCCTCCTGCGCAGGATCCATCTCTGCTTTCCGCCGCTGCTTCTGCCAGGCCTTCTGGGGGGATCCAGTGATGTCCTCCAGCGGCGTGTCCTTCCCTGGGCAGCAAGGGTGCTCCTGTCATTCCCTGGGCAGAGAGAGCACCCTCTGTCTCCAGGGATTAAGGGTTGGAGAGCTAGCACCTCAACCCCACAGAGCAACATCCCCTAACACACATGGGATTGCACGAGGGACGATGTCAACCCCACCCGCTCCGACCCACAGGCACTGGGGCACCAGGGCCGGGCTGACTCACCATACACCTGCAGGCTGGCCAGCGTGGCGTGGACTCGCAGCACCTCTCGCAGGGTGGCCCTGCGGGTGCTGAGGGGGATGTGGCAGACGCGAGGGTCGCCTTGGGCGAGGGGTGGGTTCCTGCCACCGAAGAGCAGCGCCCGGTTGTGGCGGGGGGCCCGGAGGAAGATGCGCTGAGCTTCCTTCAGGTGCTGTGCCCAGGCTGCCAGCAGGTCCTGAATATCCTGGGGAGGAAGGGGAGACACTATGGGGTCCCGAGAACGCTGCGTGGGCACAGGCAGCTTTGGAGCAGGGACAGACCCAGGACAGAGCAGCCCTGACCCCCTCCCGGAGCTCACACCCCACCCATGCCCTCCAGCAGCACGGTACCACCCCATAGAGCCAGGTCCAGCCCCACCTTGAGCAGCGCGGCTTCGTTGTAACGCCGCAGGGCGGCTCCGGCCCCCCCGCGTGGGGAGCAGGTGAGCTGCTCCTCCTGGGGCTCCAGAGGGCCTGTGGCTTGCCCCGGGGGCCTAAAGACTAACACTTCGCTTGCAGCACAGCTGGGCTTGGCCAACTCTCCAGCAAAGACCAGGAACTGCGGGTGCCCAGGGTGTGGCAAGCACTGCGATGGAGCAGTAGGGAGGGGACGGCCATCCAACATCTAGCCCCAGCTGACCCTGCCCAGAGGGGGAACCCTGATGACAACACATGGGATTTTGGGACAACCACCCCAGCTCTGTCCCCCTGCACTCACCCCCGGAACACAGCTCCTGCGAAATGCCCGCCGCCCATCATCAGCACAACCCAGCACGTGCTCGCGCAGAGGCTCTGCAGTGACGCCGTCAGCTCTGCTGGCTCCTCGCTGGCCCCCTGAGACACAAACACCCCTGCTAGCACCCACGGGATCACCTTGCCACCTCTTGCTGTCCTCCAGGACCAGCCCCTCTGCTGCCACCAGAAGCAGGTTTCCGGGAGTGCTCCAGACCCAAAAACCAGGCCACCAGCAAGCCTGGGGCTCTGACCTGGCACCAGAGACCACCCTTCCCACCACGGGACATCACACAGAGTGCCACCCGCCTTCTCTGGGGTGCCTCTCCCAATGAACTGGGCTGCAACTTGCCTTGCCAGTGCCCAGCACGCAGCGGTAGGCAGAGATGAGCTGGCCTGTCGCATTGCGGAGCAGAACCTTGTGGGAGCGTGGGACCTGGGGGGTCCCAGTGCTGTCGCTGGCAGAGGGCGGCACCTCCGACTCACTGCTTGCATCGGAGCTCTCCGAATCAGACCCTGAGATACTGGACACATCACCTGCACGGGAAAGAAAATGGAGCAGCGCAAAGATTAACCA